CACACCATAAGAGCTCACATTTTGTTTCAAAGAAAAGATGTGCATCTGATAAACGTTCAAGTTGTTTAATTTATTGTTGCATTTGTCACAGATTTGTTTCAACATGTACATGATGTCGATATTTGTTCCCTAATGTTCATGTTGAGCTGCAGAAGTTGGTGCTTCTGATGAAAGTAGTTTCAATATAAATAGATGTGTCTGGCGCCCTCTAGTGGCTGCCGTCAATACTACAACTGCTGTAACACTGAACAAACACTAGAGGGCGACAAATGACACTTTACAAAATGAAGTTCCTACATTAGAAGCATAAAATCATTAATTCATTCAACCTTTATTTGTACAGGTTAGTCTCATTCAGTCACGAGGATGCAAGACTTTATTATTTCAGTCTGTCTAACCTTGCCAACATGTCCTGATTTTCAACAACAGTAAAATCTAATAAAAGCTCTAGCATTCCTCAAAGGAGTCCAGCATTTTAAACCAAAATCATCTTAGCGTGAGAAGGGACAGAGTTACAGGCATTTTAGTCAAATCTTGTAAATTATGTAACGTTATGCACAATCCCATGCAACATTAGCAGATGTCACATCTCAGAGTGTGTTTACACTCTCAGTTACTACATCTAACTTTAGCTCAATGTCTGTCAATGTGACTGAGTTAAGGTCATATTTTAAAGAACTAAAGTTCCATTAAATGTGATTTACTATAAAAGTTCAATCAGTTGTAGATGCACACCCAGTGATGACTTGCTGAGAGTTTCAATAAAATCAGTCTGGTAGTTCTCAAGGTATTTTGCTAACAGACAGACAGAGTTGACTTCGCTAGTTAATGGCAGATTTATAAAAACTAACTGTGCACAATCAGTTAGCTTTCAGAGTATGCATTGTGTCAGACTCTCAGTTACTATCACACCCAGTGTTAGCTCAATATCTACTCAATAGCTATCAAATTGACTGAGTTTAAGTCAAATTGGTGTTTGTTAAGATCACTTAGCTGTGGTGGCCATCTTGATTTGGTTTGACTCTGAAAGTTAAACGATTGTAGACGTATAATGAATAATTACTTTCTGAGTTTCATTTAAATCTGTCCAGTGCTTCAACGACATCATTAAGAACCTTCAGTGAAGCAGTGGTTGTGCTGTGTTGTTTCCTGAAACCAGATTGATGTGGAGGTAAGATGTTAAATGAGTCCAGGTCATTTTATGATTTGAGAGTTTATCAGTTTTTCTAGAACCTTGGCTAAAATGCAGAGTTTAGAGATTGGTCGATAGTTGTTC